GAGGACTGTGATGGTGATGATGACGATGATGATGACGATGATGATGGTGATGATGCTGATGCTGATGATGATGATTATGATGATGATGGCGGTGATGATGATAACGATGAGGACCGATGGGGCAGAGGCAAACGCGGGAGGAGGGAGTAGGAGGAAGAGGAGGAGGAGGAGGAGGAGGAGGAGGAGTGCGGGGCGCTGTCTCTTCAAAACGAGGACCCAACACAACACGATATGGTTGGGCAAAAAACAATGGGGCCGCGATCCAGAAGCCACGATCCCGAGTAAGAAACAATGTGTTCTCGCTCCCGAAGCGACGACCCTTTTTGCAACAAGAATATACTCGCGCTCCCGAGGCCACTATCCCGCGTAAAATAAATGTAGATCCGCGCTCTCAAGCTTCCAACGCGGCTGAAGCAGGCAACCAAGGCCGCCAAGGTTGCCCAATCTTGCTCCAAGATGGCCAAAGGACGGCCTAGGATGGCCCCATGGCATCGCAAGAGGCCCGCAAGACGGCCCAAGAGGGTCGCAAAAGAACTCGCAACAGGGCCCAAAGAAACCAACAGCAAGTATTGTCCCACATTGTTTTCCACTGATTTGGGCGTCTGCACCGTTACGGCCTTCCTGCAGTTCCAGGCGACCCTGGAGAGATCAAGCCTATGTGTCTGTTTGACTTTCAGAGTCGTTGATCCTTCTTACTCATGGGAGGTCAGCCTAAACAAACAACGTGCGGGCCCATGCCTGCAGCGGCAGCGAGGAGGAAACGCAAGGGCAGGAGCAGATTTTAATCCACGGTTCGTTCTTTCTGACTCGTGGAATGTAACGCTTTTCAGAAGGGGGGTAAGGAGGAAGAAGAGGAGGAGGAGGAGGACATTCGAGGTACCCATCAGCCGAGAGAGAGAGAGAGAGAGGAGGCGAGGGCGGAAGAGGAGGGGCAGGGTGGGGATCACTGACCAAACTGCCAAGACTGCGAGCGGGCCGCCATTGAACAATTCCCCGGGCGAGCCATGGATAAGCCGAGGAACCGTCAATCGGGGACACGGGGCAAGGAGAAGGAGGGGCACAGAAGGGGGGAGGGAGGAGAGAGCAGGTGGAGGAGGAGGAGGAGGAGAAGGAGGCATGAAAGAGGGAAGGAGGGGGAAGGAATCCGAGTCCAGCTGCACGTGGAGGGGAGGAGAGAGGGGAGGGGGGGAGGAGGGAGGAGGAGGAGGACGAGTAGGAGGAGGAGGAGGAGGAGGAGGAGGAGGACGAGGAGGACGAGGAGGGAGGAAGAGGAGGAGGAGGAGGACGAGGAGGACGAGGAGGAGGAGGAGGAGGAGGAAAGAGGAGGGGGAGGGGAAGGAGGAGGCGGGTAAGGAGGAGGAGAAGAAGGAGGAGGAGGAGGAGGAGGAGGGGGAGGAGGAGGAAGAGGAGGAGGAGGAGAGAGGAGGGAGAGGAGGTGGAGGAGGAGGAGGAGGAGGAGGGGGAGTAGGAGGAGGAGGAGCAGCAGGAAGAGGAGGAGGAGGAGAAGGAGGAGGAGAAGGCAGAGGAGGAGGAGGGGAAGGAGGAGGATGAGGAGGAGGAGGACGGCCAGGCTCCCGAGGGCAGGGCCCGAAGCGCCCCAGGGCGGGCCCCCCCGGTCGCCTTCAGCCGGGGATTCGAGGTGAAAGCCTTGAAGAACTTCGACACGATGCTGACCTCGGCGGAGCGCAACGTGTGCTCCCCCCTCCCCCTCGTGCTCCTTCTGGTACCTCCTCCCCTCCTCCTGATCCATCCTCCCCCTCCTCCTCATCCCTCCTCCCTTTCCCCCCCCTTCTCCCCATACCCTTGCCCTTCCCCTCACCCCACCCACCCATTCCACCTCCTCCGCCTCCTCCTTCTCATCATCATCATCATCATCATCATCATCAGCAGCAGCAGCAGCAGCATCATCATCATCAGCATCATCAGAATCATCATCATCAGCATCATCATCATCAGCAGCATCATCATCACCATCAGCATCATCACCACCACCATCATCATCATCAGCATCATCATCGTCATCAGCATCATCATCGTCACCATCGACAACATGATTACCATCGTCAACATGAGAGCAGCATCATTAGCATCATCTCCAGCATAAGCATCAGCAGCATCATCAGCAGCATCATCAGCAGCACCATCATCAGCACCATCAGCATAATCATCATCGCTCGCATCAGCAGCATCATCAGCATAATCAGCATCGTGAGCATCATCATAATCAGCGTAACTGCCGTCGTCATCATGACCACCATGGGCATCATAATCATCGTTAGCATACTCGTAATCATACTCATATGCACAACCATCATCATCATTCTCATCACCATCCGAATCCTCATCATCATCGACACCAGCATCATCGTCAGCATCAGTATCAGCATCAGTATCACCATTATCATCATCATGATCATCAGCAGCAGCAGCATCCTCATCATCATCAGCATTATCACATTCACCATCATAATCAGCATACGTGCCGTCGTTGTCAACATTAGCATCATCAACAACATATTCACCGTTAGCATACTCGTAAACGCATTCATGTTCACAGACTTCAGATCCTCATGTTCATCACCATCAGCATCTTCATCATCGTCACAACCCGGATCATCGCCAGCATCATCGTCTGCATCAGCATCACCAGTAACATCATCAGCATCGTCAGCAGCAGCATCATCAACATCAGCATCACCATAATCAAAAACAGCATCACCACCATAACCATCATCATCATCATCAGCAGCAACATCAACACCATCATAATCAGCATAAACACCATCGTCATCAGCAGCATCGTCAGCATCATCATCATCAGCATCAGCATCAGCACCGTCGTCGTCGCTCTCATCATCAACAGCAGCATCGCCATCATCGGCAGCAGCATCAACATCATCAACAACATCACCATCATCATCATCATCATCATCATCAGCATCATCATCAGCACCAGCATCATCATCATCATCATCATCATCATCATCATCATCATCATCATCATCATCAGCATCGTCACCAACATCACCACCACCATCAGCATCACCCCTCCTCCTCATCTTTCTCCCCCTCCTCCTGCTCATCCTGATCCTGGTCCTCCCCATCTCCCCGCGGTACCGCGCAGCGATGTGCGGCTGACTGAGCCTGCAGGGTGGGCCATCTCCGAATCTGTGCACTTCGGCACTTGGGTTTGGGCGTCGGCTTCGGCGGTGATGCACTTCGAATCGCGTTTTCAGGCCAGCTCACCCGAGTCTGTCTTCCGCTTACACGGGTGCATCCTTCCCCCCTTTTCTGAGGCAAGCCGCGGGAGCGAACGCTCGAGGCGTCAGACGCGCCCGCTGGAGCGGGCGATCAAGGCAGGCGCCTTGGGCACAGCCGAAAAAGACCCTGGAATGAGGTAGCTGTGCCCAAGCCAGAAACAGTGACAGTCGAGCAAGCAGTGGCGCTCGACCATCCTTCCCCCCCCTCTCTCCCCTCCTCCCTCCTCCTGCTTCTCCGACTCCGCCCCTTCTCATTTTCCTCTCTCTTCATCATCCACCTCCTCGGTTATCGATCCACGTGGATCGAGGGTCGAGGATCGAAGTTTTGACGCCGTTCGACTTTCCTTTTCGGACCCATGATTTCACTTCGCTTCCACCCACTCTTTCACACCCACACACACTCCCTCTCGCTCCCTATCTACATGGACTCCTCTCTATCTCTCCCTCCTTCTCTCTCTCTCTCTCTCTCTCTCCCTCTCTCTTTATGTCTCTCTCTCTCTCTCTTGTTTTCCTGCGTCCGTACTTTCCAAGTCGTGAGGAGAGCAAGGGAGAAGGATGAGGAGGAGAGAGAAAGAAGGGACGGAGGAGAAGTAGGAAGGATGAGGTGGAGAGGAAGGATGAACGGGAGGCTCGAAGGTGTGGAGGAGGCATTCGGCGACAGCAAGGTGTAGGGGATTGACCAGACTTCACGCCAACATGCCAAATCTCCAAGCAACATGCCGTGCACTTGTGCGTAGTGTTGCGCGGCCCTGGGAGCGACAGCGACCCGGCCATCGCATTGGCGCCTCGTCGACACCGTCCCCATCGAAGTGCATCCCCCCACTTCCTCATCATCCTCGCCATAACCACCAACATCATGGCAATCAGTATCAACATAGTGATCACCGCCGCCGCCACCACCAACACGACCACCACCACCACCACCAGAATCATCATCATCATCAGCATCACCCAGAACAACATCATCATGATCATCATCATCAGCATCATCATTATCATTATCATCATCGTTGTCGTCGTCGTATCCGCATGATTCGCAACACCATCACGCAGCAGCATCCCCGTCATTATCATCAACAACATCATCAGCATCGTCATCATCATTATCATCATCGCCATCAGCAGCAGCATCAGCATCAGCATCCTTATCGTCACCACCGTCGTCCTCAGCCACAGCCGAATCATCAGCATCAAGCATACACGTCAGCGTCGTCGTTGGCGGCGTCGTCATCGCCATCACGATGCCATGGTCACCATCGTCATCATCATAATTCTTATCAGCATCATCAGCATCATCGCCGTCCTCCTCCTTCTCCTCCTCCTCCTCCTCTACATCCTCCTTCTCCTTCTCCCGCTGTCCATCCCGCGTTCCCCAGGCTTTGTCTGGAGCTGCAGCTGATGCTCAAAGCTTAGGGCACGCCGAATATCCACACGCACCGATCCTGGCCAGGCCGATCCTGCATGGGATCTATACAGCTCGCTCTCCGGCGGCGCCATCCGAGCCGGCGTCGGGCGGGTGCTGCAGGGGCGGCTGCACGAGCTCGTGATGGCGCAGGCCGCCAGTGCTGATGACCGGCCGCTCTGCTTGTCGCCTCGCTCCCCTCTCGCTCTTCACCCTCCGCGTCGTCTCCGAACGCGGCGTCCACCGGCGGGCGGGCCCGGGGTTGAGTATCGTTGAACCGAGCCCCATCCCCAGCGGCGTGGCCTGGGCCCCACAGGCCGATCTACCCCCCCTAGATGGGGGTATAGGTCGTTCCCTTCGGGTTTCGAGGGGCGTATCCCCAACTGGGGGGGGATTTGGTGGGGGTCTCGAAGGGGATGGGGATGGGGATGGGGGTCGGTTGAACGATACTGGGAGGTGGGGCTGGCGGGGCGGCCGTGTTCGCGGCCATGATGAAGTGCAGCCACCGGAACCTGCGGGGCAGAGGCGAGGCGGGGCGACTCCCAGATTCGCCCGCGAAGGGCGGCAACGCGCGGCGGGGCCGGGAGCGGACGCCGGGGCGCCGCGCGGTCCGTCGAGGGAAACGAACTAAAGGGGCCCAGGGACACACAAATATATAAATACACACAGATAACCAGAGTCCCCATAGTTTCCAATCTTTTTTGGAGTTTCGTCTTCCCCCCCACTTCCCATATTTTCCCATATTTTCCGGGGGATCGACGATTAATTGTGTCTGTGTGTTTTTGTCCCCTTCTGAAAGAAATGTGTCTGCTTGTACTGTGCACGTAACTGTGCTCCAATTGTGACCACGAATCGCTTCTCGACGCAACGCGTGGCCATTTCTCCCCGCGTGTTGTGCGAGGGACTCGGCCACGTCATGCAGGGGAGCACACGCAGGTGCAGCAGTGCCATTTGGACCACGCCAGGCCACGCGCCCAGGCCGGGCCGAAACTGGGCCGTCGACAAAATTCGGGTCCTGGCCGGCCCCGCGCGGGGCCATGACGGAACGACTGAGCGAACTCCTGAACGACTGGTTCAGGAATGCAAGTAGCGTTCCTGCAAACTGCTGGAGAAGCACTGGGCCAGGACAAGTATGGGAGCGCATTCTGGGCACCTGATCAGAAGGACGAAACGGCGAGGAGATGCAGAAGGGTACAATCGGCACACGACAGCTGGAACGCTGGCATTATGAGCACGTTCTGACGACCTTCCTGGAACCACATCTGCACTCATGCGTCGATGATGCGTCGAACGTCTGTCCACTTGAGTCGGACTGTAGTCGAACTTGAGCCGAACTTGAGTCGGAACAAATCCGATGGGTGGGCCCCGGGAAGGTCCCCACCCCAATGAACATCTAACCGGCGTTGGTCTCCACTGCAGCCCCGAGACAGGCTCTCCACCGCGGCACCTCGGCGGCAACACGCGAGCAACCTCTCGCGCGCGTCTCACGCGGCACGGGCACGAAGCCCCAAAGCGCAAACTCCCGGTGGCGTGCCCTCACTTGACCGTCATTGGCGGCGTGCTGGAGGGGGTCGGGTCTGGGGGTCGACGAGAGAGGGTCGGGTCGGCGAGGGGGGCGGGTCTGCCCTCCGAGAAGGCAGGGGGGGCCTCTCGGCAGGGAATGCCCCCGATTGGATGCGTCTGCGAGGGCCCTCCTGCTGGCCTTTGTGGGCCCCGGAAACGGCAGGGCCGTTTTTTCACCCTTTCCAAAAAAATGCCCCTTGAAAATGGAAACGGCAGAAAAAACGGCGACCGGAAACGGCAAAGAAACGGCTCCAGGATTGGAACCGGAGCCGGAACCGGTCAAAAAACGGCGACGGGACCGGTAAAAAAACGGCGTCGGAACCGGCAAAAAAACTGCAAAACAACGGCAAAACGGAACCGGTAAAAAAACGGCCCTGTCGTTTCCAGGGCCCACTAAGCTGCTGGCAGGCCGGAGGGGCTTCCAGCCAAGAGGCGGGGTGCCTCCTCAACGGCCTGCCCCCTGCCGCGCGCTGCCACTGACACCCCGCGTGTTCTCGTCGGCGAGGGCTCAGCACGAGGCATGCGGCGTGAACACGCCGACGGAAGATGTCCATGCAGACTGCCGCGGGACCGCGTCCCAGAGACTCGGGGAGATCGCCCCGCAGATACCCATAGCCACCACTCCTCGCAATCCCAAGACACGACTCCGAAGCGGTGGATACGGACACACTCTGGCGGTGGAACGACTGGAAAGGGGGGCCCTGGATGGGAGCGGGTCCTCGATGCCCTGGGGCCCCCTCCAGGACCAGCTTCTCGTCCTGTGCAGCCCCAGTCCTGGCCAAGCCCACTTGTCGGCAGTCCTGCTAGCGCCGCATGCTCCCAGCACGCTGTGCGGCCCGGACAGAGAGCAGACGACGACGACGACGACGACGACGACGACGACGACAACAACAGAGACGCGAGGAGCGAGGAGCCAGGAGCGAGCAGACGACGACAAACGAGGCCGTACAGGAGCGAGGAACGAGCAGACGACGACGACAGAGACGCGAGGAGCGAGGAGCGAGCAGAGAGCAGAGAGGCGAGGGGCGAGCAGACGACGACGAACGCGCAGGCGGGGGGCCGAGGGCGGCGGGACAAGGCAGGCGGGCGGGCAGGCGGGAAGGGAGCAGGCGGGAAGGCAGCCCGAGGGAGGAGGAGGAGGAGGAGGAGGAGGAGGACGAGGAGGAGGACGAGGAGGAGGAGAAGAAAACGGAGGAGGAGAAGGAGGAGAAGGAGGAGGAGGAGAAGGAGGAAACGGAGGAGGAGGAGGAGGAGGAAGAGCAGGAAGAGGAGGAG